TACAGAAAACAGACTGACAGCTGTCAGGCAGACAGGAAGACGGTTTCAGAGCTGGGTGAAAAACGTGAAGGGGTAAAGGGGAAAAAAAAAACCCTCATAGACATAGACAACAGTATGGTGATTCCGTGACAACAGTATGGGGGGGTGGGGGAAGGCAGAGTGGTAATCGGGATAAGTGGTAATAGAAGGAGACTTGACTTTGGGTGGTGAATACACAATACAATATACAGATGATGTATTATAGAATGTACTTAAAACCTATATAATTTTATCAACCAATGTCACCCCAATAAATTCAATGAAAGTTTAAAAAATAAAAATAAAAAAATTTAAAGAGAAGCTTAGATCTGGTCCTGTGATTCCAGAACATAAATATGAAAATCAACGATAAGGTAAGACAGATACATCTCCCGCCAAATGCAGGGTATAAATGGTACTTCTGGGGTTCCGAACTGAGAGAAATTACTGTCGTCGGGGCACTCAGACCTGACAGCGTGACTTGTGCCGAGTAACCAGGTTAAAGCCAGCCTCTCATTCTGACAGAAGACAGGGGCACATGTTAGATGTGGCAAAAGCCCAAGGAGCAAGAAAAGATGAAAAGAACGTGTGCCTGGTCCGTTCAGCTGAGTGGTGGCCCTGGGTAGGAAGGTAAAGTTTAAAATGATAAAGAGGAGAAGCTAGTTTCTGAAGAGACTAGAACAGTGGCCTAATCACATTAGGTTTGTAAGAGAATTTCTGAGCTGTGGGTGCTCCTTTTACACATAAAGCAAGACCTCGTGAGGTTAAGGGAAAAGATGAAGGGCAAAATCCCAGGGGTCTTGCCCCCAATCCTCATATTCTCACTTTAGCCATAAAGAGTAGTGGTTCTGAAACTTGACTACATATTGAAATAACTGGGGAATCTTAAAGAAAAAAAAACAAAACAAAACCTACCACCAATTCCTGGCTCCCACCCGAGCATTCTGATTACATCAGTATGGGGTTTGCCTTGACCCGCCAAGTTGTGAAAGCTCCCAGGTAGTTACAATCTGTAGCAAAGTCTGGGAATCACTGGTCTGGTGGTAACAGGTAACCTCATCATGGCATCAAGTGTACAAGTGCCTCAAGTACTAGTTTAGGAAAATTAACCTGAACTCCGTTTATATAAATTGTTGAGGAGAGAAAAGTGGCAGCAGACCAGCAGAAGACTTCTCAAGCTACTCAGTTACATAACCAGTCACCAGTATTTACTATCTGCAAGGTATGACAGCATAAAAGAGATTTAAAAGAGAAAAAAACAAAGGAGATTAGTGAATAATCTGATGCTATAAGCAGTGAAGAAAAAGTGGATGATTCATTTTCAGGCCTAAGCGATGCCATGACAGAGACTGAGGAACTGGAAGAGGGAGAATGAAAGGCATTTCCAGATGGTGAACTGGGCCTTCTAGCCCAAAAATATTGAATCCATAGTTAAGTTGATATATGTGTATGCACATGTTAATAAAACAGGGAACATTTATCCATATTAAATATTTACTGAAAATACATTTTTATGGTGCATAATATCATGAACATTTACATTAAAATACACTCGGAAAAAAAAAAAAGACATAGAAGACAGAGATGAAACAAAAATGGCAAAATATTATATTGATAATTCCAGAAATTGGGTTATGAGTATAAAGGGCTTGTCATACTATTCCACTTTGTATATACTTTTTACTTTCCATAATAAAATTTTTAAAGAGTAAACAGACCCAAAAAATCCAGTGTTCACTAATTCCTTTTTTTGTTGTTGTTATAAAGGTCATAGAAAATAAGTTCAACAAAAATATAAAACAATTAAGGTTTAACTGTAATTTTTCCACAAATGGTGTATCATCGACAAATAAGTTGTCCTAGCAGTAAAGCTAATTAACTTTAGCAAAGAGCCAGTTCAGAGATAATGATTACTCCTGCTAAACAGTGACCTTACCACTTGCTGTGTGATAAGCCATTAAAACAGTAACTGCTGTGTTCCATTTCTAAACACTAGAACACTATTCAGGAGTGAAGCATCATCATTGACCTATGATTTTCAACAGCACGAAGGCAAAGCTATAGCCAGGTCTGTTTTAATAGGTTTTTCAAAGTCCGATTCCATATTCTTTTCTACCCTCCAGATCAGCAACCCATTTTGCAAGGTAACTGATACTGGCACGGCTGAGTTCCCCCACTGTTTCTTTCAACACTCAAATGAGAAAGCCACTGAATCAAGCTACTTGAGAATAACAGGAAATATTGTTTTTCAACATTAACTGTAGAAGGTTGGTCCAGTGATAGCTTCCACCAATTTAAATGGATAACTTGGGGCCTCTCCCTTACCTCTGAGCTTTATATCCTACCTCATGTGTAAAGTGAGGGAGTTAGCTTCTAGGAGGTAGAGAGCAATTTAACAATATGTTATCAAGGGCCTTAAACATGCTCAGCCCCCGTCCAGCCGGTGTGGCTCAGTGGCTGAGCGTTGACCCATGCACCAAGAGGTCACCAGTTCAATTCCTGGTCAGGACACATGCCCAGGTTGTAGGCTGGATCCCCAGTCGGGGGCATGCAGGAGGCAGCCAATCTATGTTCTCTGTCATCAGTGTTTCTCTCTCTCTCTCTCAAATCAATAAAGAAAAAAAAAATGTTCAGCCCCTTGGATCCAACAGTTTCACTTCTCAGAAGTGAGTCAAGGAAATAAGAGACGGAACAAAGGGGTAGTCTCTATAATAATGAAAAATAAAAAACAAAACAAAAATACCCTAATATTACACAGAGGTACAAAGACTGGAATAATTATATAAAATATGGTTATTTGTGGCATTATTATGCACCATAAAAAAATGTGTTTTCAGTAAATATTTAACATGGATAAATGTTCCCTGTTTTATAAACATATACATACGTATAAATTATGGTATATAAGGTAATAAATTCATTTTTTTAAATAAGTTTTATTTTTTTAATTATTTTTATTAATTTATTTTTGTTACAGATGTTCCTCCTTTTCCCCCCATTGACACCCTCCTTCCAATCCCTCCCCCCCAGCTTTGTTGTCAATGCCCATTGGTTAGGCATACATGCGTATACATTCTTTGGTTTGTCTCTTCCCTCCCCTCCCAACCCCTCTTCTGAGGTTTGTCAGTCTGTAAACTCATTTTAAAAATCAATAATGTTTATTACTCCAAATGATAAAGATGTCGGTTTTTTTCCTTTGCAAATATTCAGTATTTTCTAAAATTTCTATAATGGTGTATACAATTGTTAAAAATAGGTGGAAAAAATTAGTATTAAATAAAACCACTGGCCTAGATACCCTAGATCTCAGGTAGTGCTAACTTTGATCTTGCATTTCATTCTCTTAATGTCCAAACTTAAGCAATTATAAACTATATTAGAAATGCCAACATAAGACTCCACAAGAACTTTATTAGACTGTGATATGTTTTTAATTATTAAACAAAAGGTTCAAGTCCGATATGCTATAGCAATATGTTCCTTGGGATCAAAATTGTCTTTCATCATTCAATCCTGGGGGATTTAACTGTTGAGTAAATTAAACAATTAAACAGCTATTGCTTTACTGCAAGGATTGTTGCCGTAGAAAGTCTCCATGATGTTGACTCAGGTTAGGGTAAAACACCTCATAAACAAATACGCAATTTCCCTCCCTGATTCCTACAAGTTTCTTGAAGGACCCACACGACGTTGGTCCTAGTGCCAAGTGGCTACTACCTGGCTGGTGACCATGGGTTGTGAACCTGTGAAATAAGGGGTTCACCAGATGGGCAGGCATCACACAGAAAGGTTACTTCTACACTTTCACAGGAGTCCAGGGAAGCCTGCACCATCCAGCTCCACAGCCAGGGCAGGCGGGAAATCACGGCGGCGAGATGCGGCCGCGAAGGGCTAGAGGAGCGTTCAGATTTCAGCACTAGCCCTCAGCTCGGAAGGGTTCAAGCCGGTCTCCTGCCCGGGCCACCCCTGCAAACACCGAGGATGGCGGGATGCGGCAGAGTCCCTGTCGGCAAGGGAAGGGTGCTTGCTGCCCCTCCTCTCATCCCCAAAGGCCTTCAGCCGCAATGTCCAGCGATTGCCTGCTCCGGGAAATCTGGACTACCCCAAAGACCTGCGCGCACGGCCGCCTTCGCCCGGGACTCACCAGGGGTCCGGAGCCATAGTGCAGTCTCCGCTCGCTCCTCGGACACTTCCTGCCCGCAGCAGCTGACTACGGCGGCCCGCGCGGCTCACACCCCGCGGTCGACCCGAACGCGCCCGGAGCCTGGAGTTTGCAAAGTGAATATACACTGAGTCCTCAATACTTAGAGAAAGCGCTCCTCCGGGGAACAGCAGGTTGAAGCAATCTGTTCCACTGAGAGACGCAAACAGCTGGGTGCACTTAAAAGAAAAGTGTTGAATAAAGTTTAAGCATTTTCCCTAGAAGTGGGAGCACCTGAAAACCTCTAGCAGTTAACAGAAAATGTTATCCTGCTTAAAAAAACAAAAAACGATTTTGGTGATAATTACAGAACTGTATAAATTTACTAAAGCTCACTTTAAGTGAATTTTATGATTTGTAAGTTATACCTGAATAAAGCTTTAACAAATTTTTTATCCAGCTTCAGACAAGAGACCTGAAGAAGTATTAATTATATATTATTTTATGGCAGTCTTCCCACCAGAAGCAATTCTCTGTGTTTGATTAATTTTTAAAAGCCATTAGGTACTTGATTATATAGTTACCAAAAAGATCACCGACTCTTTACACGGGGAAAGAAGTAATTTATTCTGTGCATTTGGTAACCCCTAAATTTCCAGAGAACCAGGAAAAAGAAACCCTCCCTCTTTTTTGCAAAAGAGCATGCATAGGAATTTGAACTCCAAAGGCTGGGATTAACGCGAGCGTGGATCTGATGCGCATGCGCACGTTCGTTACCATAACGACCAGAAGACGCTGTGTGTTTGGAGGCTGAGACAAAAGTAAGAGGTGTCTCCGGGAGATGGAGAACATTTCGCCCAAGGCGGAGGTGGCCGAGCTGGAGCTTCAGGCTGTAATCGGCTTCAATGGTGAGGCCATGAGCATGTCTAGGCTGGGTGGTTTGGGAACCCCAGCATGTATAGTGCCAGCAGGAGGTGAGACAGTACTTGGCAGACAGTGTGGGATGCTGGCATGAGCCTTGGTCAGGGTCAAACACCGGAATTCGGGGTCAAGGGATGGAGGAAGACAGCTTCTCCTGCACAAAAGCTTTTCAAGTGGTTCTCAACCTTCCTAATGCCGCCACTCGTTAATACAGTTCCTCATGTTGTGGTGACCCCCAACCATACAATTATTTTCGTTGCTACTTCATAACTGTAATTTTGCTACTGTTATGTCTTAGGTAACCCCTGTGAAAGGGTCGTTGGACTCCCAAAGAAGTTGCGACCCACAGGTTGAGAACCTCTAATTAGTTTAGAGAGTCACTTCCTCGATCCAAGTCTCAATCCGATTGTGGGGTGGGAACCTTTAAAAGTAACCTGCTGTATTAACCTGCTGTAATTTGGTGAGACCTGTGACGTTAGCTGGTATTGATTTCACTGGCCATATATGGCCTGCAAGCCACATGTTCCTCACCCCTTAGACACCAAATGTCCCCTCTCAGGGCCATAGGATGAATATGGGTGGTTGTAACCCTTCTCCTACCAGGACAGCCTTCCCTGGCTCTAAGCCCCATGCAGCTCTCAAAGCTGTGTGTCCCTCAGTAACCACTGGATTACTGAATCCATGATGGCCCTTGAGACCAACTAACTTCCGACATCCCAGCTCATGTATTAATAAGAGAGGGTGGGAAGTGGGTGGGTGTTTGAGCAACTACTTTAGGGGATGATCTTGTGCTATAACCCGAAAGAAGGATTCTAATTGTGAGGACTTCAGACCAGGAAAAAAGTAGAAAAGGATGCCAGGGAGAGCTGGGAGGAGGAGGAAGGCAGTGCAGGAGAAGGAAGGTTGATGCTTTGGTCAGAGGAGGTCTGGTTGTTCTGCTTAAATACTTATTTATGACTGCCTGTTATTTTGGACATTAAGGGGGGGGGTATGTTTATTTCTGAAGGATGAAAACAAACAATGAATTACATTTTAGAAAAGTGAACTTTTAAAAAGTGTATTATAATGCCTGGAAGCTTTAAAATTGTAAAATTGTGCATACAGAACAATCAATGGTCAAGATTTTAAGTGAATTCTAGGACATGGCTCTTGATTCTTATCTTCATTTTAATTTAACCATCTCTGATAGAAAGTGAGCACTTAGTACATCTGAGGTATCAGCCATCTTTAGAGTTGGCTCCAAAATCATTGTTAAAGGAGTGGCCTGCTAAAGGTGTCTGTGCAAAGGGTCACACTGGTGACCAGTGTAAAGCCTCAAGCAAGAGCTCTGCAACCTAATCCATGCTGTTTTGTAGCATTCCAAGAGTAAATATATGGCAAATTATATCCCAGTGTCTTCCATGGCAATTAATTACTAATTACCTTGGACTTTTAGAATGGCCCAAATTAATTTTTTAAAATTATTTTTTTTCTTTATTGATTTTAGAGAGAGAAGAAGGGAGAGGGATTGAGAGACAGAAACATCAATGAGTGAGAACATCGACTGTCCACCTCCTATACACGCCCCACTGGGGATCAGGCCCACAGCCTGGGCATGTGCCTTGACCAGGAATCGAACCAGTGACCTCTAGGTGCATGGGTTGATGCTCAACCACTGAGCCACACCGGCCAGGCAAGAATGGCCCAAATAAATTAAGTTGTTTTTACCTTATTGGTTTTGTAACTATTTATATTCTCTCCTAGTCAAATATATGCTTGTTTAGAACCATTATATGCCAAGTAGTATACTATTCATTGAGAACACAAGGACAAATTCATAGCCATACTTAAGAAGAGTTTTAAAAATTAGAAAAATACGCCCTGGCCAGTTTGGCTCAGCGGTTAGAGCGTCGGCCTGCGGTCCGGAGAGACCCGGGTTCGGTTCCCGCTAAGGGCACGTACTTCGGTTGCAGTTTGTCCCCAGCCCTGGTTGGTCGTGCGGGTGGCAGCCACTCGATGTGTCCCTTTCACATCGATGTTTCTCTCTCTCTCTCCCTTCCTCTCTCTCCCTCCCACTCTATCTGTACAAAAAATGGAAAAATATCCTCGGGTGAGGATAAAAAAAAAAAATTAGAAAAATACAGTGAAACCAAAAGAAGAATCAGCAGCCATCATTACATTTCCCAAAATATCACTGTTAAATTTCGCTGCGATCCTTTAGAATATATACTTTTATCACTTACATGTAATATGGTGTTTTTTAATAAAAGTGATTCTGATGTATATATTCCCTTATAATAAGACTTCTTTCACTTAATAATAATTCCTTGGCAGTAAAAATACTCTATGCCATAATTTTTAATATTTAGTATAATATTCTGTTGTAAAGATATGCTACAATTTATTTACAGAATGCCCTATTCTTAAGAATTTAGCATAGTTTTTATTTATTTTTAAATGCTACAAAGAACATCTCCATAGCTAATCTTTTAACTCTTTAACATTTTTCATTAGGATAATTTCTGAGTACATCTTAAAGACTTTTGATGTGTCCTCCAAATGCTATATCTGATATAGAACAGAAATGTATGTCCAAAATGTATGGGGACATTTATAGTAGCAGTATTTCAAATAGTTGAAAATGAAAAACAACCAAATGTTCATCAAAAGTAAAAGAACAAATAAACTGGTATATTCACACAATGGACTACTGTGCAGCAACAGAAAAGAATGAACTGCTATACGCAAAGTGGATAGATCTCACATACATAATGTTGAGTGAAAAAATCTAGATGTAAAAGAGTACATGCTGAATAATTCCAGTCATATAAAGTTCTAAAATGAGGGAAATTAATTTATAAAATAGAAGTTAAAACAGCGATTACCGCCCTGGCCGGTTTGGCTCAGCAGTTAGAGTGTCAGCCTGTGGTCCAGAGAGACCCGGGTTCGGTTTCCGCTAAGGGCACGTGCCTCGGTTGCAGTTTGTCCCCGGCCCTGGTTGGCTCGTGTGGGTGGCGGCCACTCGATGTGTCCCATTCACATTGATGTTTCTCTCTCTCTCTCCCTCCCACTCTATCTGAACAAAAAATGGGGAAATAAAATGTCCTCGGATGAGGATTAAAAAAAAAAACAGCGGTTACCTTGGGGAGGTGTAAACTGGGAGAAGGCACAAGGGAAGTGTCTGGAGGGGGATGGTAATAATCTACTTCTTGATCCAAGCTATAGTTGAATGGGTGTGTTTACTTGGTAAAAGTTTATTGGGTTTTCTGTAAAATGTGTGTTTAGAAATGCTATATTGCCTCTCATAAAAGAATAAGCAAGCTTTATGAAAGTTTGGGAGAAAGATTCTATTCTAGGCTAGAGTAAGGTCAAGGAAGGGTTAATTCAAGTAGTCTTTAAATTGGGTAGGAGTCTGGGGGTAAAGACTGAGGAGCAGAATATTCCAGGCAGCAAGACTAGGATGAGCAAAGAAGGAAGGTAGAGAGTGGAGGAGGCCTGGTTTGGGAATGGCAAAAACTTGGAGTGGCTTCAGTGTCAGGGGCTGGCAGGATAACACAGGCAACAGAACCTAGGATTAGATTTTAGAGGCCTTCAATACCAGGTAATTGAGTTTCGTCTTCACATGGAAACAAGTTCGAAGCAAAAGTAAAGCCCTTTTTATTGTTGTGACATTAGAACTCACTGTAGTTTAACATTATAGTTTATGAGTTTTAACTTCAAGGTGTAATTATGTATTTGACTCTTCTAGGTTTTTTTTTGTGTGTTTGTTTGTTTGTTTTTTTTTGTGGTATGTGCCCCTAGCAGGAACCAAACCCAGGACTCTCTGGTACGCAGGCCGACGCTCAACTGCTGAGCCAAACTGGCCAGGGCCTAGGTATTTTATTTTGATGGAAATTTATTATTTAAGCAAACCAAATATAATCGTGTTGCTTATGAAAACGTTTTATTTTTTTATCCTCATCCAAGGACATTTTTGCATCTACCTTCAGATAGAGTGAGAGGAAGAAAGAGAGAGTAACATCGATGTGAGAGAGACACATCGAGTGGCTGCCACCCACATGACCCCAACCAGGCCAGGGACAAACCACAACCACTACATGCCCTTAGCAGGAACCGAACCCAGAACTCTCTGGTCCGCAGGTCAACACTCTAACCACTGAACAAAACTGGCCAGGGAACTAGCTATATTTTTAAATCTTACTATGTATATAAAATATTAAAAGTACTATACTATATATAAACAACTTATAATCTAAGTTTGCATGTTTTAATATTTTACATAAGTAGTATAACAACCATGCAAATTTTAAAATCTGCTTTTTCACTCATCATTTGTACACTCTATTCATGTTGATATAACTTGCTTTAACTCTACCACTCCTTTGTATGAATATACCATCAGTTATCTGTCCCCCTCTTGATGGGTTTTTTAGCTCATTTCCAATGTCACAATGAACACATTTGTGTGTAGCCCATGGGCACAATTGCAAGTATTTTTCTAGGTTATATAACCATAAGTGGATTAATTTGATTCTAGGGTGTGTGCATATTCAACCATACGCAATACAGACAGGCTGTTTTCCAAAGCAATCTGACCAATTTACCCTCTGACCTAGCAGTGTTCCCTTTGCTCTACATTATCACTAACACTTGGTATTGTCAGCCTTTTCCATTTTAGCCATTATAATGGCGATGAAATGGAATCTCATTTGGGATGTAATTTGCATTTCCCTGATTGCTTGTGAAGTTGCATATCTTTTCATATGTTTGTTGGCTTTTTAATTTCCTCCACTGTAAATTGCCTATTCATATCCTTTGCTTATTTTTCTGTTGGGTAGTTTGTGTTTACCTTGTATATTCTGAATGTAATCCAGACTTTTACTTTACAAATATAAATATATGTATACTATATGCATTGCAAATATCTTCTGGTTTGGGACTTTCTTTTCATTTTGTCTTTGGTCTTAGAAGTTTTTAATTTTAGGCATAACTACATGCATATATTGGCCTTTTCGGTTAAGATCTGCTCTTTTTGTGTTATGTTTCAGAAGTCATTTTCTACAACTTGTATATACACTGAGTCTTATTTCTCACATTTAGGTCTTTGATCTACCTGGAATGTATTGTTCGTGGATGGTGTGAAGTAGGGCTCTAATTTTACTTTTTCCATATGGATACCCATATGATTATTTATAAGGAGCCTGCGATAAGAAAAAAAATTATATATATATATATTTATATACGTATATATTAGCAGGAATAGATCACCCCCCCAGATATAGACCTTCGTATTATGAGAACTTACTGCATAAAAAAAGGAACAATAACAAAGGGAAAGAAATAATTTACTCAATAAATACATTTGATCATTTGAGCAAAAAGAAATCTATTTAGCTACCGGGATCACACTATGCACCAAAATAAATTCCAAAGGGAGTTAAATATAAAAGATGAATTCATTAAAAGACCAGATGGATATATTAATAAATATTTATGACTCTTTTAGTGAGGAAGGGAAATAGCAATAACAAAGATTTTAAAATGTCCAGAAATAAATGTAATAAGAAATATGTGAGATCTTTAAAAAAAAAATTAGAAATGCTACTGGGCAGAAGATACCCTGTTTTTAGAAAGGACATATAATATATCATTGTGAAAAGTATCTTTCCTTAGCCCCACCCACCCTATCTTAAGATAAGTGGAAAAGTATCCTCGGGTAAGGATTTTAAAAAAAGCCAATAAGCCTGGCTGGTGTGGCTCAGCTGTTGTGTGTCAACCCATGCACCAAGAGGTTGCCAGTTCGATTCCCGGTCAGGGCACATGCCCAGGCTATGGGCCCGATCCCCAGTGGGGGGTATGCAGGAGGTGGCCAGTCGATGTTCTCTCTCATTGATGTTTCTATCTCTCCCTCTCCCTTCCTCTCTAAAAAAATCAATAAAAAAAATTTTTTTTTTTTTAAAAAGCATTACAAAGATTTATAATTGTTGACATGGTTCTTGCCAATATCTGGAAGGTGGCATCTTCCTGTGAGAGGTCCTGTGTTTCTTTCAAGTGCCTGGCAGAGACCTGGAACAGAAACCAGAATTTTACCTTCCTAACTTGTGCCCAAGGTAATGAATTCACGTTCCTCTCGGCCTACGCTCTCGCCGGTATGCACTCACTGGACAAGCTGGCTGCTCGTGTTTCGTGTGCTCCTGCTTCTTAGAATTACAAGAATTGGCCTGAGGGCCTTGCTGTTCCAAGTGAGGTTCCTGGACCAGCATCAGCAGCACTTGGGAGCTTGTCAGAAATGCAGACTCTCGGCCCCACTCCAGACCTAAAATCAGAACCTGCGTTTCAACCAAACACCCTGGGAATGTTATGCACATTACAGTTTGAGAAGCCATGTACTAGACTGACCTTGTCAATGGAATAAAATTGCCTATTACCTCCCCCACTTATTTTAGTTGAACTAAGGATTATTTCACAAGTGTTCTCCTTTGTACTCAGTTTTTTAAAATGTATCAGCCGCTTCTGCACCTTCTTATTGTTTTTTTTCTCCTCACCCGAGGTCATTTTTCCATTTTTTGTTCAGACAGAGTGAGAGGGAGAGAGAGAGAGAAACATCGATGTGAAAGGGACACATCGAGTGGCTGCCACCCGCATGACCAACCAGGGCTGGGGACAAACTGCAACTGAGGTACATGCCCTTAGCGGGAACCAAACCTGGGTCTCTCCGGACTGCAGGCCAACGCTCTAACCACTGAGCCAAACCGGCCAGGGCTTTCTTATTGTTTTTAATCTCTCTCTTTTAGGACACGTGCCCACTGGTCTGAAGTGCCATCCTGACCAGGAGCATCTGATTTACCCTCTGGGCTGCACAGTCCTCATTCAGGCGATAAATACTAACGAACAGAATTTCCTACACGGTCACGGCAACAACATCTCCTGTGTGACCGTCTCCAAGAGCGGAGCTTACATCGCCTCGGGACAAGTCACATTCATGGGCTTCAAGGTGAATGCACTGAAAGTAACTCACTGTGAATGGATTTAGAGGTGTCTGCCCAGAAAAACTGCTCCGCTTCAGGTCGCCCTGTGCTGATGTGCGTTTTTACCCTTCCTCTTCTTCCTCTGGGCTTCTCTTTGGACTCGCTTCATTCCTTCAGGCTGAGAGTGAAGGAATCCGCTGTTTTCACACCAGATGTTGCCGCCAGTGACTGCTAATGCTCAGGAACAAAGTCACTATTTAAAACCGTTTCCATTTTGTTGCTGTCATGTTTGTAGGACATGATGTACTTTCTCGAAAAGCGACATTACTCCTCAGGTTCTCTAAAGCCTGTTTGTGATCCTTTCTCCCAGGCAGATATCATTTTGTGGGATTATAAGAAGCGGGAGCTGATCGCTCGGCTGTCACTTCACAAGGGCAAAATTGAAGATCTGGCCTTTTCACCAAATGACTTGTACTTGGTATCACTAGGAGGCCCAGATGATGGAAGGTAACGAGCCAATCATATTTACTTACATCCCAGCAGGCATATTTCTAGACATGTCGAATACCCTCTTCCCCCTAAGGTCTCCTGCTGGCCTGTCTGTGTTTGCGTGTGTGCTGTGTGAAAGCCCAGGAGGGAAGTCCCATAGGACAGTGGTTCTCAGCCCTGGCTGGGCATTGAAATCCACCGGGGAGCTTTAGCAAATGACCAGTGCTTGGCTCCGCCTTTGGAGAGTCTGACTTGATTTGCCTGGGTTTTAATAGCTTCCCACCTGATTCTAATATGTGTCTAAATCCAAGAACCATTGCTGTAAACCAAAAAAAAAGAGATGACATCGTCATTGTCATCATCAGTGGCAGCATCAAAAGCAACAGCTCGTTTTGGGGAGCACTTACTACGTGACAGGTGTGTGCTGCACTTTAACAGCATTATCTCGTTTAAGCCTCGCAACAGCTCCATGAGGTGGCAGCCACTGCTACCAGGAGGAGCTAAACAAGGAGCTAAGCTACCAGCCGGTAAGTAGCCGAGCTGGGAGACAAACCATGGCAGTGTGACTCTAGGGATGGCGTTTTTAACGTGCCTCACCAAGACATGATCTTTGCCCTCAAGGAGCTCATAGTCAGGTTTAGTAGGCAGAGAATATATACAAATGAAATTGGAGGGGAAAGTATTTAAAATGATGTATTAGGAAGAACAACCAGTGCAGTCCGTATGCCTGTGTAAATAGTCTGCAGAAGAAACATAAATACACCTGAGGTTTGCGCAGGATTCAATACTTTGGTGCACTTTTACAGGCACGTTCCTGTTTGAGCTTCATGAGTTTGTCACAAATGAAATTTACATAGATGTGTATATATTTGGGTAGCAAGTCCACAGAATTTTTATGACATTTCCTCCCTTAATAGTTGTTCCTTTCCCAAGTTGAGTAGTCACACCTTCCCTGGGCCATTCCCATTGGATTGTTTTTGATAAGAAATGTACCTAGAAATCATCTACTAATATTCTTAGCTTAACTTTTTTTTAAGAATTTTTTTTTCTATATTGACTTTAGTGAGAAAGGAAGGGAGACAGAGAAAGAGAAACATCAATGGGAGGGAGTATCGATTGGCCGCCTCCTGTATGCCCCCCACTGGGGATTAGGCTCACAACCTGGGCATGTGCCCTGACTGGGAATCGAACCGGTGATCTGTCTCTTGGTGCATGGACTGATGCTCAACCATGGAGCCACACTGGCTGGGCTTCTTAGCTTAGCTTAAAGCAGTTGTTCTCAACCTTGGGTGCACATTGGAATCACCTGAGGAAATTTTTAAAGTACTGATGCCTAGGTGCCACCCCAGAGATTCCTGGAGCTTGGATTCCATCATCTTTCTGCCAGAAAGATGCCAAGGCTAGGCCTTGTGGGAGAAAAAAATGGCCCCTTTGCCAAGGTGAATCTGTAAAATTGTTCATCTCCTCTGTAATTTTAAGTTTGATTTTAGGCTATCTAAAATTCGCTTGCAGAAAATTGGGTTATGTTGAGAAAAACATTCTAAAGAAAGTTTCCTTTTAAAGAAAGGGAGGAAAATAAACCTTGCTGGACAAGAAAATGCAATATGCCCATCTCTGAATAGCCATGGCGGTGCAGAAGACAGGGTTCTGATAATTGGTTTTGGATAATCAGGGGTCAACCCTGAACCCATGGGAGGGTCCATTCTTCCCAAACCACCTGGCTTCTACACAGACAGGAGGAACAGAAGAGATGCTGGGAACTGTGATAGGCATTTGACAGTTTGGATGTGCATGTATTTATTTTTTACTTATTTATTTTTTTATCCTCACTCAAGGACATTCTTGCATTTATATTCAGATAGATCAGGAGGGAGAGATGGAGGGAGAGAGAGAGAAACATCAATTTGAGAGAGACACATTGACTGGTTGCCACCCACACGACCCTGTCCGGGGCCAGGGTCAAACTGCAATGGAGGTACGTGCCCTTGCGGGAACTAAACCCAGGTCTCTCTAGGCTGTGGGCTGATGCTCTAACCGCTGAGTCAAACCAGCCAGGGCTGGATGTGCATGTATTTAAACAAATATTCTGTAAACTATTTTTTAAAATTTTTTATTCTTTATTATTTTAGACAGAGAACGTAAGGGAGAGAGAGAGAAACATCGATGAGAGAGAACATCGAATGGCCGCTTCCTGCATACACCCCACTGGGGGTTTGGCCCATGACCAGGGCATGTGCCCTGACCAGGAATCAAACCGGTGACCTCTTGGTGCATGGGTCAATGCTCAACCACTGAGCCATACAGGCTGGGCATTTATGAACCTTTTTTGCATTAATGTTATCTAGCATGTATCAGTGTTGTAATGCAGCTTCTTTTTCATTCATTTTATAAGAAGGATATATTCTTTTTTTTTTAAATACAAATAAAAGTTTATTGTACAAAATGAAGGCCTTCACATTTCATAGTTCACTAGTAGGTGATTTTTAAAAACCCACACAAAAACTTTACTTTCACTTCCTCCCACCCCCAACTATTAAAATGGCCTGACTGCCCTGGCCGGTTTGGCTCAGCAGTTAGAGCGTGGGCCTGCGGTCCGGAGAGACCCGGGTTCGGTTCCCGCTAAGGGCACGTACCTTGGTTGCAGTTTGTCCCCGGCCCTGGTTGGTCGTGCGGGTGGCAGCCACTCGATGTGTCCCTTTCACGTCGATGTTTCTTTCTCTCTCTCTGTTCCTCTCTCTCCCTCCCACTCTACCTGAACAAAAAATGGAAAAATGTCCTCGGGTGAGGATAAAATATATATATATATATATATATATATATATATATATATATATATAAATAAAATGGCCTGACCAACTGTTATGAAAACAAACACTATAAATAACACCAAGTCCTTTAAAGACAACCATCCCAAATGTTATTTCTTGGCATAGGTGATCTTCATGGCAGGGGATGGTGTGATCTTAAATCCTTGTAGAGCATCCCTGGCAGCTCCAGCCTGTCCATCATTTTCAAATTCAACAAATGCAATGTCATGCCTCCCAGGTACCAAACGTACTTCCTTGAAACCAGGGAACTGATTAAACAGCATGGACAACATCATCTCATTAGTTTCTTCTGGTAAATTATTAAGGAATAAAATATAGTTTGGTGGGTAATCAGGGACCTGAGGATTTAGGGCTGCATTTCCTTGGATATTAGCTGAATTTGGTGCTCCCTGACCAGGCTTCTTATCAGCGGTCAGTGCTGTCTGTTCCACAGTTTCGGCTTTCTTCTTCTCTTTTTTCTTTTCTTTGTCAGCAAAGGTGCCACGCATTTTAGATATTATATCAGAATCTGTTTTTGCATACTGGATTCACATTGGTTTACCATAAAATGGAAATCCTTGTAACTGTCTCAAGGCATTTGTGGATGAGCCCAATTCTTTAAATACAACAAAGGCTTGCCCCCTCATCTTCATAGTCTTTAAAGCTACAATATCTACAACATGGCCAAACTGAGAGAAAACAGTGCATAGAGGGATCTCTTCAATTCTTCTTTTTTAATTTTGTCATTCATATTATCGATATAAATTGTATGATTTGGTCTGATATCCATCTTTTGGATTAAACTGTTCAAATAGCCTGAGCTCGGCGCGGTGTCCAAGAAGGATATATTCTATGTGTGTACATGTAGACTATGCCATGTTCTGTGCAAGGCCTGAATCGTATTCCATTGCACAGCCAACTCTCTATCTATATCAGTGCCTTTTATTTAGTTTTAAATTTTAAATTTGTTTTTGAAAAAAGAAAGCTATAGCTGTCCATGGTTTATAAAGAAAGCATGTTTTCCTACTATGCAGATGAATTCAAAATTCATATTCCCTCTGCTCTCCAGAGGCACTTGGATTCCTGTTTATAGCTCTGTTGAGATGTATTTCACATACCATAAAATTCGTCCACTTAAGGTATACAGTTGAGTGGTTTTTAGTGTAGTGGTTAGTTTAGTGAGTTTTGTTTTTGCTAGAATACTTCCCCAAGGAAATTTTTTAAATGATGTGTTGTGTAACTAGCACCGTAATCAACTTTAAAACATTGTCAACCCCCAAAAAGAAACCCCTAGCTCATTAGCTGTCACTCTCATACCGGCTCTACCACCCCCTCCCAGCCCCGGGCAACGAATCTACTTCTGTCTCTATAGATCTGCCTGTTCTGGATGTTTCAAATAAATGGAATCATACTGTGTGGCCTTTTGTGACTGATTTCTTTTATGAAGCTTAATGTTTTCAAGGTTCATCCATATTGTGGCCTGCATCAGTACTTCATTCTTTTTTATTGTCAAATAATATTCCATTGTATGGATATACCACTTTTTCTTTATCCTCATCAGTGGGTGAATTTTGGGGTCTTTTCCACTTTTAGGCTATTATTAATAATGCTGCTATAAACATTCATGTATAAGATTTTGTACGTACACGTTTTCATTTCTCTTGAAAATAAGGCATTTGGTTTTAAGAGTTTGTTGTTGTTGTTGTTGTTGTTGTTGATTTAGTTATCAGTATAACCTTTTAAGTGATATGTCTCTCAAGTTTTGCACTTTAGATGGTATCTATCAACTTCTTACTAAGGAAAACAATTTATGGCTCTTACACTATCTCCCGCCTCAACATTCTTGGAGATCTTGGTTATACTTCGATTTTAGATTACCTGTGATAACACAGTCAGCATGTAGAAAATTTGGGAAACATAAATAGGCATGTTTTTACATTAACAATGTTTGTAACATTTGTATTCTCTTTCTTTAATATTTTGATGTACTGAACAGAAGCTCCAGGGTGGATCCCAGCGGTCTCTGTTCGAAAGCCTTCCAAGTGATTCTGATACACCATCCAGTCTGAGAATACTGCCTTAGGCTGTCCTCTGTGTTGCTTTTTTTCTTCCAGAATACTTGCCAAAGGAAATTTTTTACATGGTATAAATGAGTGGTAAACTTCTATGCCTTGAATGTCTGAAAAGGTCTTTATTTTAGCATCAGACTTGATTGATGCACGCACTGGTTTTTAGCCTCATAATCATTTTCCTTCAAATCTTTTTTAAGTGTCACTCATTTGTCTTCTTATATCCCGTGCGATCAAGGCGAAGTCTGGGGGAGGGGATTTCAGTGTGATTTTTTTGTTCCTTTGTAAGTGACCTGGCTTCTTCTTTTTTTTCCAGAACTACTGAAAGAACTGTTTCTTATTTTGAGAGCCCGTCTTCCCCTGACATTTTTGTCCCTCTCATTTTGGCAGTGTGGTGGTGTGGAGCATAGCCAAGAAAGACGCCATCTGTGGCAGTCCTGCGGCGGGCCTCAATGTCGGCAACGCCACCACGGTGATCTTCTCCGGGTGCTTCGATGAGATGTTCGTTACTGCTGGGAAGTACGTGTCTGCAGCCAGGCTTGGCAGCCAGGGTTTGCAGAACTCATAAGCTTATGCAGGAAACATGGTCATTCCAATTTGGGAGAACATGATTTCCATCCGGAAAACCTATCTTAAAGTCTTAAGTATAGTTATTGGAAAATTCTGTGCTTCCCACTAAAAATATTCTGCTTATCTGCTCAATTCATTTTCAGTTCTGGTGGTTTATTTTTTGTTACTGATAGCATAGTACCTACAAGCTGTGCTCCCAGAGTGCTTTGCAGTTGTACCGACTCACTTACTGGTTGATGTTTGTTACCACCTGTTCTTTTTTATACATCCTCACCAAGGATATTTTTCCATTTATCTTCAGATAGTGTGGGGGAGAGAGTGAGAGAGAGAGAAACATTGGTGTGAGAGAGACACACCGACTGGTTGCCTCCAGCACAACCCCAACCAGGACCCAGGATCGAACTGCAACCAAGGTGTATGCCCTTGATCGGAATCAAACCCGTGACTCTTTGGTCCACGGGCCGATGCTCCAAATGCTGACCCAAACTGGCCAGGGCCCATCTGCTCTTGATTTAGGTCCCATGAAATGCTAGTTTGAGAATAAACTGTTCCAGGAAGTTCCAAGTGTTTGATTATGTGCCACAGGGGATCATTTCCAGTGGGGACCACGCTAAGGGTCTGCACAGAGGCCAGCATCTGCTTATCAGCACAGATTAACTTAGATTCACCAATCAGGGCTCTGTTTGGACTTTGAAGTGAAGATTAAACCTATATAAAAGCATCCTATTCATGTCCTATATCAGTTCAAAGGTCAAACATCTGTGAATGTTGGGGTGAAGTGAATGTTGGCTGGAACTATCCTTGTCGGCCCACCTGTGGTTTCCCGTCTATGAGAGCCACACATCGTCGGTGGTTTTTCCAGCCAGAATCAAGCATTTGTGCCGCTATACATCTGTACGGTTTCCTGTCCCCAGCTGGTGACAGGCAGCCTGCATTTGTTCCGTGGATAATGACGAGGAAGGGTTTATCCAGAGGCCTGGACACCAACTGGCTGGTATGAAAGCCAGCCCCTACGGAGCGAACCTGATCAGGACAGTGCTCTGATCCTGAAGCAGCCAAGCGCACCTGCCGCCTTCAGGGGCGCTGCTGACCGCGAAGCTCTGGGGGCCCTGTCAGGTTGGCAGGTGCTGAAGGAAGCCTTTGTGCCTCGGGGTCTCTGCTCCTCGGCAGTGGCTTCAGCTGCAGACATCAACCGATTCTGGCATCTGAGGACAACATTTCTCCAGCAAGACAAACTTGAATTGAAGCCCAAACAAATTCTTTAGGACAATCTCTAATCTAAGTCTGCTTTAATTTTTTTTTTTTTTTTTTAAATCCTCACCCACATCCAAGGATATTTTTCCTTTTATCTTCAGATAGAGTGGCAGGGACGGGGAGAGAGAGAGAGAGAGAAAGAGAGAGAGAAACATCAATGTGAAAGAGGCACATCGACTGGTTGCCTCCCGCACAACCCCGACCAGGGCAGGGGACAAACCGCAACCAAGATATGTGCTCTTGATGGGAATCAAACCCGAGACTCTTTGGTCTGCAGGCCGACGCTCTAACCGCTGAGCCAAACTGGCCATGGCTAGGTCTGCTTTAATTTTATGTGACATTGAAAATGAAACAAAGCACTTTTTTTTTTTTTTAAAGGTTTTTATTGATTGATTTTAGAGAGGAAGGGAGAGAGAGATAGAAACGATGAGAAAACATCGATTGCTTGCCTCCTGCATGCCCTTCACTGGGGATTTGGCCCACAATCTAGGCATATTTCCTGAACGTGAATTGAACCGGCAACCTCTTGGTGCACGGGTCGATGCTCAACCACTGAGCCACACCAGCTGGGCATAGACAAAGCACTCTTAAGTAAGACTTCCAGTATGGCACCCATATGCTCTGTTCTCTATGATGGTCCCCATGTCAGGTGTCCCATCATACAGTCCCCATGAGCTATCCTGCAAATTCCAGTATTCTAGCATCCAAATGACAATTACCAAGAAGGCCATGGAAAAGCTAAATTTTTTTTTCAGTTTAGAAAGTACATTCAGAACACTTATTGAAAACTTAACTCTGTGCATCACTCTGGGGGCTCAAGAGAAAGAAAAACTGGATGTGATCAATACACGTGTCATCTTTTCTGTCTTAGGAGACTAGCTCAAGTCTTTGTAATGTTGATCATGGTACTTTTATACAATCACTAATTCAGATTAACACAGCATCCACCAATGAAATATCACCTGTTTGCCAGATCTGGTGTTAGGTGCTGATTTTGTTTAGTCTCATTTCTCCTTCCTTGAAGACAGGATTCCCCGTAAGGAAGTCCTTCCCTTTAAAAAAAAAAAAACTGCCTCACAATCAGTACCTTGTAAGAAAGATGCCTAATGAACGCTGGTTTGCTCTTCATTTGTTTCCTTGTTTATTCACGTGTCTTTCTATTTCCACTCTCGTGGACAGAGTGTGCGCTTCCAAGTGAGAGAACCGGGTGTGAATCCTTGCTGTGGTGTATGCAGGCTCTGCCTTTTCTCATTTGGAGATTTGGGGGATCATAACCCTCCCCTGCAGGGTGGTCGTGAAGATCAAATGGCAGATCTTCGGCAGAGCACCAGGCTATCACCAACCTTCGGATCTATCTAGGTCTCTTCCCTTCAGCTTCAAGACATACGGCAGACAGAGAAGACATGAAGTGGTTGTTGAATGGGCACCCATTTGATTGTGAATTTCTCTTCCACAGTGGGACAATTCGAGTATGGGAACTGGATCTCCCAAATAGAAAAATCAGGCCAACTGAGTGCCAAACAGGACAGATGAAAAGGATAGTCATGAGTATTACAGTAAGTATTACTTTATGTGTTATTTTAAGTAACTATTATATTAGTACAAGTTCCTATTAATAGCACTGACCAAGGTGTGTGTGTGCGCATGTGCCTTGGGCTTGGGGTGGGGAGGTGAGGTCTGGGCATATGAGATTGATTGAGGAGGCACAGTCTCACTTCTGGGGATCCCTTCAGAAGCAGGGAGAGCCACACACAGCTCTGGGTAGGTCTTTCACTGGGACCTGGGCTGCCACAGGGTGGGAAGCCAGAAGGCACATCCCTATGCCACTTATGTTATTTCTGCCCAGGAAATAAAGTTCCTAACAATGAGACTCATTACTGGAATGCAGTCTTTTCGTATGGAGGAATTATTTCTGTGTTGTCAGTATGGATTCATACATGTGGGCATGTGACTCCATTCTCCATTGACTTGTTCCTCTTGTCTACTGCACAGTCATTTTATGATATAGACTTTGGAAAGTATGAGGTAAAGCAAATGCCTGTTCTCTTTGGAGGAGTACAGCCTCATCCGAGGATCCCTTTGGAGGAGTCTCAGGAGTTGGAGCCAGCGGGGTGTGCATGCCAACCAACATCAGACACACACAGACTGCAAGTGAAGTGCACAGTCTGAATGCAATAATATTTCCTCCAGTTCTGAGCTTCGCCTCGAGCTTTTCTTACCCACCACTGGGTCTGAGGAAATAGGAGTAGGTGTTCCTGATGTTTCAGAGAAAGCTCATCCCATCCCTGACCAGGGTTCATGGGCATCACTGGGGAATCCCAGGTCTTCAGGTTTCTTGTTTCTCTGACCCCCAGATGGCCAATGATGACAATTTTTTCTACCTTGGCACCACAACTGGAGATATTCTAAAAATGAACCCTAAGACTAAACTGCTGGCAGACACTGGGCCTACAAAGGACAAATTCAGTCTGGTAAGTAGATACCTCCAAAGTCTGCTCTGCTTTGCTGTTTTCTAGTTATTTCTTCCCTTTGGTACCAATACAGACTAGTTAAGAAAGAGTCTGTGGAAAAAAGAAATGAATAACCTGAGATGTACCTAAGGCCACACCTACATTTGCAAGGTGCATGACTAGTTCTCTAGGCCCTCGTCTCTGGTTTGCATTCAGGACAAAGGTATTCCTAGGTATCTGCAATTAGAGAATCAGCCACACCCTTTCCACATCTTCAAAGCGCGGGGCTTGTGGTTTGTGATTTATAAACACATTGGTCCCAGCATTTGGGCTGCCTATTGCCATATGCAAGAATTATACATCTATAATTCTTTAAAAAAATTTTTTTTTGTTCAGACAGAGTGGGAGGGAGAGAGAGAGAGAAACATCGACGTGAAAGGGACACATTAGGTGGCTGCCACCCACACGACCAACCAGGGCCGGGGACAAACTGCAACCGAGATACGTGCCCTTAGCGGGAACCGAACCCTGGTCTCTCTGGACTGCAGGCCAACGCTTTAACCGCTGAGTCAAACTGGCCAGGGCCATCTATAATTCTTTAAAATCTAATAACTAGAGCCTGACCGGTATGGCTCAGTGGTTGAGTGTCGACCCATGCACCAAGAGGTTGCCAGTTTGATTCCCGGTCAGGGCACATGCCCAGGTTGTGGGCCCAATCCCCAGTAGGGGGCATGCAGGAGGCGGCCAATCGATGTTCTCTCTCTCCCTCTCCCTTCCTCCCTCTCTAAAAATTAATAAAGAAAAAAAAATATTTAAAAAAGGAAAAATAAATAAATAAAATCTAATAACTAGATCAAAGATTTCAGCCTTGCCCAGCATTATAAGTCATGAGAAAACCTAGAAATTGTCAATTGTTTATATTTACAGAATTTCTAACAATTCTGGTTAACAGTCCAGTGAGAGACTTTGCTATTTAACCAAAATAAAAAGTCTGAAATCAAGGGATAATTTTACAGAGTGAATGCTGCTATTCCCAGCGCCCCAGATGGTTACACGGGCTGTTTCTACTCAATCTGAAAGCTGTGCACCTGCCTCTGTCATGTCTGACAGTGGAACAGACGTAGACACCTTCCAGCAGGTATTCCCAAGACACTTTAAACTACTGCACTGTGTTCCTAGGAACATGTCAGAATTTTATTTTATTTTTTAATCCTCACCCGAGGATATGTTTTCATTGATTTTTAGAGAGAGAGGAAGGAGAGAAAGAGAAACATTGATTGGTTACCTCCTTCATGCTCCCCAACCATGGATGGAACCCACAAGCCTTTTGGTATATGGGACAACGCTCCAACCAACTGAGCCACCCGGCCAGGGCCATGTCAGAGTTTTCATACTCACATAATCATTTGATATTCAAGCTTTTAAGGCGGTGCCTAAAAATGGAAGAAAGCTCTAAGTAGAGATGAATTTAGAAATAATCCTACAGGAGATTGCCCTATGAAGCAGACAGCACTAAAATGAAGAAGATGCTGATGATGATGACAATAACATGAACCTTAAAAACAGTACATGCTCGATAAATGTTTGTGTGTCCGACGTGGAGCAAAGCACTTCCCTTGCATGATCTCATTTGATCCTTCCCTCAGTCTGATGAGATGGGTACCCTTTTTATCCATGCGTTACAGAGGAGGAAATTGAGGCACAGACCATTTACGGTCCCGTGGCTAGCAAGTAGTAGAACTGAGACGTAAACCTAGGCAGACAAGCTCCAGAACCTGTGCGCTTGAGCGATATCATCTACGGTTTCAAAAAGTTTATTTAGAAATTACATGTATGTCACTTTGAGGCTCTGTTGAATTCTTTATCCCTTACTCCCTTAAGTCCCTGAACAAATGCTAAAAATAGTTATGAGGGCCATCTCTTCATCGGCCCGGCATTCACCTTACTGTGCTGATGTGACACTTTTGGAGTTAGGGATTGGGGGAAGCATAATTCTGGTTCGTGTTCTTTTTTTTTTAATCCTCCCCCGAGGACATTTTTTTTTTTTTCTATTTTTTGATCAGATAGAGTGGGAGGGAGAGAGAGAGAGAGAGAGAAACATCAACGTGAAAGGGACACATCAAGGAACTGCCACACCCGCACGACCAACCAGGGCTGGGGACAAACTGCAACCGAGGTACATGCCCTTAGTGGGAACCGAACCGGGTCTCTCTGGACCACAGGCCGACGCTCTAACCGCTGAGCCAAACTGGCCAGGGCCAGACACTGATTCTTAATGAGGAAACCAGCTGGCCTTTTCCCTAATGCTTTTCTCCCCCTAGGGAGTGTCAGCTATCAAGTGCCTGAAGATGGGGGGGTTGTTGGTGGGCTCTGGTGCCGGATTGCTGGTCTTCTGTAAAAGCCCCAGCTACAAACCCATCAAGTAAGTTCCAGGCCCTACAGGGTTGGGATGGGGAAAGACCCACCAGAGGGAGGTTTGCTTAAAGCCGACAACTAAGTGATAGTGGCAAAGTGATATTTATTTGGTTAAAGAATTTCATCTTACAGTTAAAATGAGTAGATGGTGGTTTGTTTGCCAATGAAAAGATAATGGCTTATGTTGAATCAAACCAAAGTAGTCCACTATTACCCAGGCAAATATTTCTCTTCTAATAAATATGTGTTTTTATTGAGCCATGACCGAGGAAAGAGGCTATTGCAAACATACTCAACACATTTCAAACTTTCAAAATTGATTTATTCAATGAAATGTATTATGCAAGGGGTACCTATTATATAACTATTAACTACTATGTTAATAGTTCATGCATTTGAATACAGATTTTAATACAAATAGCCAACATTTACCAGCTGTTTCTGTGTACCAGATACTATACTATATACTTTTCATATTAAAATAAAGTGAAAAAAAGAACACATTATACATTGTTATTAACAAGTATTTGTTGAGTACCTCTTCCATCCAAACGAATGTGCTAGATGCTATTAAAAAAAAAAAAAAAGGTATGGTCTTTGCCAGGCCAGAACTTATAATCCGATTTGGGGATAGGGGTGTGTGTGTGTGTAATATAAGATAATATATAAGCACCTCATGGTCCAAATAAAGTAAGGTACTTCATAGATTTTATAAAGAAGACCAGAGAAGACAGTGACCTTGTTGGGATGGTGATGTCAAAGGAACAGAAGCGGAACTTGAATTTAGCTTCAGTAAAAGCCAGATCGCCCCAGACATGCTCCACATGGCCTCTGTTAGCTCCCAGGGAGTCAGGGGTAGTTCCATATGCATTTAGGAACTAGCATCAGTTGTCTTCTTTGGAACAAATATATACTGAGAATATGTACCAGGTGCTATTGTGGGTACTTGGAACATATCAATGAACAAAGTAAACAAAGAAGATGACAAAATCCCTGTCCACATGGAGCTTACATTCTAGCAAGAGGAAAAAGACAAATACTAAACAAGTAAAGTACCTAGTATTGAAGGGTGATGAGAACACTGGACACAAATAGAGTAGGATGTAGAGTTGGGGGGATTTGGGTTTAAAGGGAGGCAGGGACAGGTTGCAATTTTAAATCCAGTGCTTAGGATAGGTCTTATGGAGACTATATTTGGACCAGCGATATGTTTTTATGATGGGGAAAAAGTAAGGGAGGGGGGGCAACTTAAGAACCATGTTGGGTAGATTCTGGATACATGAAATGAGTATAGAAAATTTACTCCCTAATTTTTTAACCCCTTGTTTTCAATGCTCAAATGTTCCCATTGTAATGAAGATAATTAGACTCAAAACAATCATTCCAGGGTTTGTGCTATAAGTGTCTCCAAAATAACCCTGTGTGAAGCATGGGTTCAAACTAGATGCAGTGATTTCTGCATCCTTGGGTTTGAAAAAGCTGCTCACGCAGGATGTCATGGGGACTAGAAGTCTGATAAAACAGACCACTGGCCTTGGCCCTGTAGCCCTGGGCTTATCTTTTAGGGCACCCAGATGCCAATATTTAGCCAATATTTCTTGGCCGCCCCTGTGGGCTCCTATACATTACCTCTATTGTCTAATCTCCACTGCAAGCCAGATTATTCTGTGATTGAGTAAACCGAGGCCCAGGGATTTCTGGCAACTTGTCCAGAGTCACAGAGCTCTAGTAGCGAAGGAGCTGGAATATGACTTGGGTCTACACTTTCTTCATTCACTGTTCTATGTCCCATCAGCACATGAGTCTGCAGAATTCCACATCTCCTGTGCTGGTTCCTTGCACAAGAACCCCCACTGAATTCTTACTGTCAAAACTCAATTAGTTGCAAAGAAGGTTGGGTTTCTAGGGCCTCATTTATTTATGTATTCTTTTTTGGTTTAAAGTTCATACTCATTATATATTTAGGGAGCAGAGGGATTTGGAAAGTAGAAGAAGATCAAATAATGCCTGAACATTCTGATGAAGATAGCCACAATCAACATTTTATTTCTTGTTGCCTGTGCTATTTATATAATTTTAGAATAATTATACTTATTTTGTATATAAAATTTTGTATTCTGATTTTTTACTTAATGCAAACAGCATAAACATTTTAAAAATTACTATATAATCTTTCAAAATATTTGTGAATATATATATATATATATATATATATATATATATAATCTTTTAAACATGATGTTCATGGCTAGGCATGACTATGTCTCACTGATGAAGATTTCCTCTTGTAACCTGTGCTTGCCCCTCCCTTTGCTGACCGTGGGTACCCAATATTGCACCTTCTGCCTTTCTAACTGTGTCACCTCCTTGAGTCATTTCTCAGGTCATGTGCCTGATTTGTGTCCTCTGTAATGCTTCAGATGGTAATAAATAACTGTTAAGTGAATCTACTTGACCTTTTTGCTTCTCCTTAAAGGAAAATCCAGTTACAAGGCGGTATCACTTCTATCACGCTTCGAGGGGAAGGACACCAGTTTTTTGTAGGAACAGAAGAATCACACATTTATCGTGTCAACTTCACAGATTTCAAAGAGACTCTCATTGGGACTTGCCACTTTGAAGCTGTACAGGACATTGTCTTTCCATTGTAAGTAGAAGAGGAAAATATTTTCACCCCTAAAAACAGTAAGAATGAGGAGATTTGGTGCAGTGTGCAAGGAAATTTAATTTTATTTATACATTTAAATAGCGATTATCATAATAAATCATAATAGATTATGGGGTTTTTTCTCCTTAAATTTTTCTATTGTGCCCTGGCCGATTTGGCTCAGCAGTTAGAGCATCGGCCTGCTGACCAAAGAGTTGAGGGTTCAATTCCCAGTGAAGGGCTTGTACCTGGATGGCAGGTTTGTCCCCATTCTGGTCGGGGTCAAGTGGGAAGCAACCAATTGATGTTTATCTCTCGGTCCCTTCCACTCTATTTAAAAAATTAATGGAAAAATATCCTCAGTTGATGATTAACAAAACAAAAAAAATTTTTTTTTATTGTAGTGAATTATTTTAATAGATTTTTCTATTGCCTTCACCATGCAACTACATTAGGTTTTACAATTCAAATTTGGACTTCTTTAGAATGTTAGCTTTTGTATTAAACCCATCATGAAAAGGGTGAAGAGGCTGGCAAAGCCTTTCAACATTTCCCCAATGCTGTCTGGAAAAAGCTTAGCAGTGCATTTTTCCAGACTTCTTTTAAGTCACTTGTTTTGTACCTCTCGAGTCCCCCAGATTTGGCAGACTTAATGCTGTGAGCGTAAGGGGTCTTCTGGATGTAGTCGCTGTGCTTCGTGGTAAACCCCACACAAATCAAGTGAAACAAAGAACCATCGGCAGGTCTGAGGTCAGAGAGAGCTTCCGCCATTGTTCGCACGATTTGATTTTGAAACACATTTTATCTTTGGTGAGATTCACTCCTTGAAGCTGGTCAGACAGTGTTTGCTCTGAACTTTCTCAGTATTTAGCTTGAATTTACAAACTTCCAAATATTGTTCCACAGGTAGCAAGACTCGGTTTGAAAACTCGATCCTAAAGATCATGACGTGTGTTTTGGTTTCCTGAGTCGTCGTGACTGGGTTTTCCCAAATATTTTTAACAGTGGAAATGGCTGGTGCTTCCCATAAGGCAAATCTTCTTAGAAAACTGAGCGGTCATTTTCTTTGTCTCACTTTCCCCTCTTTATCTAAAAAGTTTCTGTAAAATTATTTGGTCTAGGTGCCTTATAGAAGAGTAGATTTTTAACTATTTTTAAATTCTCATATAGTTATTAACCTATTCAGGTTTTATAACTCTTCTTTTTCATACCTTTTTTTTTAATCCTCACCCAAGGATATTTTTTGTTCAGATAGAGTGGGAGGGAGAGAGAGAGAGAGAAACATCAACGCGAAAGGGACACTTCGAGTGGCTGCCACCCACACGACCAACCAGGGCCGGGGACAAACTGCAACTGAGGCACATGCCCTTAGCGGAAACCAAACCCAGGTCTCTCTGGATCGCAGGCCGATGCTCCAACCGCTGAGCCAAACTGGCCAGGCTTTTTTCTTTTTTTTTTTGAAATATAATTTATGTACCATAAAGTTCACACATTTAGAGTGTAATTCTGAGTATAACTTACATATGGAAAGTATATAAATTATAAGTAACCTCCTCCATGAAATCTCCCACCTATATGACTACCACCCAAGTCAAGCAATAGAACATTTCCAATACCCCAAAACACCCCTCTCAATTCTACCCTCACAGTTTTCCTTAAAGATAATCTCTACTTGGACTTCTAGTCCCATAGATTAATTTTATCTGCTTTTGAAATGAAATGATTCAGTCTGTACTTTAGAAGTCATTTTTTTTTTTCCCCTCTGGAAGCTTTTTTTTTTTTTAATCCTCACCCCAGGATATATTTTCATTTATCTTCAGACAGAGTAGGAGGAAGAGGGTGTAGGGGAGAGAGAGAGAGAAACATCGATGTGAGAGAGAGACATCAATTGGTTGCCTCCTGCACAACCCCGACCTGGGCCAGGACCAAACCACAACCGAAGTACATGCCCTTTACTGGAATCAGACCCGAGACTCTTTGGTTTGCAGCCTGACACTCTAACCACTGAGCCAAACCGACCAGGGCAATGGAAGCTTTTAATGTTGTTAATGTCATACAGATCTTATCCTTACTGATTTTTCGTCTGCTTATTTTATCAGTTACTGAGAAAAGTGTGTTAAATTCTCAAGCAACGAATGTAGATTTCTTACTGTAGTTCTTGCTTTTTTATCCAGTCTAGTAATCTCTTCTTATTTGAAATATTTAGTCCATTTACATTTAATGTAATTTTTTTAAAAATATTTTTTTTATTGATTTTTGGAGAGAGAGGGAGAGAGAGAGAGAGAAACATGGACATGAGAGCAAAACATCTATCGACTGTCTCTTGCACACCCTACCAGGGATCAAGTGCTGACCTGGAATTGAACCAGAAAGCTTTCCATGCACAGGACGATGCCCAACCAACTGAGCCACACCAGCCAGGGCACATTTAATGTAATTTTTGATGTGATTGTGTTAAACCTTTCATTTTGTTATTTGTTTTCTTTTGTTTCATCTATTCTTTGCTCTTCTTTTACTTCTTTCTGTCCACCATTAATTAATTTTTTTATTTTTATTTTTTTTTATCATCCTCACCCGAGGACATTTTTCCATTCTTTGTTCAGGTAGAGTGTAAGGGAGAGAGAGGAACAGAGAGAGAGAGAAACATTGATGTGAAAAGGACACATCGAGTGGTCGCCACCCGCACAACCAACCAGGGCCGGGGACAAACTGCAACCGAGGTATGTGCCCTTAGCGGGAACCGAACCCAGGTCTCTCCGGACTGCAGGCCGATGCTCTAACCGCTGAGCCATACCGGCCAGGGCTGTCCACCATTAATTTAAATAATCTATTGTTAGAATTCTATTTTAATTGCTTTATTGACTTTCTATCTATATATCTTTGCATTAATTTTTTGGTAGTAGCTCTGAGGATGGCAATATATATCTTTTTTTTTTTTTTAATCCTCACCCAAGGACATTTTTGCATTTATCTTCAGATAGAGCAGGAGGGAGAGAGGGGGAAAGAGAGGGGGGCATCGATGTGAGAGAGACACATCAAGTGGTTGCCACCCACACGACCCAACCAGGGCCAGGGACAAACTGCAACCAAGGTACGTGCCCTTAGCGGGAACTGAACCTGGGACTCTCTGGTTCACAGGCCAACACTCTAACCGCTGAGCCAAACCAGTCAGGGCAATATATATCTTTAATATATCAGTCTGCTTATGGTTAATATTAAATTACTTAAAATAAAATATAAGAACTTTGTAATATTTTATTTCCCTTAAACTCATTTTTATTCTTAGTGCTATTATTTTCATGTATACCTATTTATATTATAAACCCATCAATATAATATTATAATTTTTGCTTTAAACAGCCGTAAACCTTTTTTAAAATTTTAGCTTTTGAGCATTACTGATGCTCTACATTCTTTCTTAAATATCTAACTTGCCATGTGGTGTAATTCCCTTTTAGTCTACAGAACTTTGTTTAGCATTTTATAAAATTATAGGTCTCTGATGAAGAATTCCCTCAGCTTTGTTTCTTCACAGATTTTATCTAGCTGATTTCTGTTTATCCTCAATGTTTCTGGCTTATTTGATGATAATCTTTCTTGCCTTCCTGTTATTGTAAGAAAAAAAATGTATATGTCTCTACATCTCTATTTCTGTCATCTCTAAGATTATATTTGTTTCATGGGATTTTAGATGGGATGGAGAACACATATGGTCCTAGTGTACCATCTTAATCCATTCGGTTTGGTTCTTTCTGGAACTTAGCCTTTCAGACCCTAAATGAAGGACACTCTACGACTTGAATGACTTATTTTGGACTAGACTTGACTCCTGAGGAAGTGGACGGTTCATCAAGGGCAGGGAGAGTTTGAGAAGTTCTCTAGGTGCATTCATTCTGACATGTGATTTTCATGAGGGGCCTTTTCCCAAAGGGGAAGCTTGTGCACTGAAGGCAGTATCCAATATAAAACTCCTCTTATTTTAAATAAATATGATTATTCTAAGGTTAGCTTTTGATCTCTGTTAATTAGGACTGTTTAGCAAGGAGCTCCATCTTATCTGTTGTTCTGTTTAGCACTTACTAGTTATTTCTAAGTAACTAGTCTACCACAATAATTTTACCTCTGAGCCCCAAAGCTAAGTATGTGGAAAAGATCCACTTATTTTTCAATCCATTGAAAAGTGAGTAGATCTTAGAGTAAGTGAGAGGGACTCTCTTTTCATGAATGTGTTTATGATGAAATGTAAAACATTTTTGAGAAGTACTTAAATCTAAAAGTTAGCCCTGCCAGAGTGGCTCAGTTGGTTGAGTGTCGAACTGTGCACTGAAAGATTGCTGGTTTGATTCCCGGTCAGGGCACATGCTTGGGTTGCAGGTTGGGTCACTGGTCAGGGCATGTGCAGAAGGCAACTGATTGATGTTTCTCTCTCACATCAATGCCCCCCCCCCCAAAAAACAATATGAATATATTTTTTATTTTTTATTTTTTTTATCCTCATCCGAGGACATTTTTCCATTTTTTGTACAGACAGAGTGGGAGGGAGAGAGAGGAAGAGAGAGAGGGAAACATCGATGTGAAAGGGACACATCGAGTGGCTGCCACCCGCACGACCAACCAGGGCCGGGGACAAACTGCAACCGAGGTACATGCCCTTAGCGGGAACCGAACCCGGGTCTCTCCGGACCGCAGGTGGACGCTCTAACCGCTGAGCCAAACCGGCCAGGGCATGAATATATTTTAAAAATAAAATAATAAAATAAAATTTAGCCTAGTCTCTACAGAGACTGTAGCTAGAAATTCATACTGGTAACACAGATGGTCTTTATTGTATGACTCCTTTTTCATATCCAAAGTGGAATAATCTGTAATTTTTTTTGACATATTGGCATTTTCCATTCTATTTACACATTGTCCTTTACAAAAACTGGACAGACCTATTACTCTAGGATTCTCCTCCTTGTCCATAATCTTATATTTTCTCATAACTAAGCAAATAAGTGTTTTAGGCAATTTGAAAACATGAATTCTAGCACCCTTTTCATTTTCTTCTTTGAAATTTTAATGATTATCTACTTTATAGGAAAGGTTTTGCTTAGCCTCTTTTAGTATAAATATTTCATGATGTATTTTATTTCAAGAGATGTTACTTACTATCCTCTAGTCTAAATATATATATATTTTTTTCTTTATTGATTTTAGAGAGAAAGAGTAAGGGAGAGGGAGAGAGAGAGAAACATTGATGAGAGAGAACATTGATTGGCTGCTTCCTGCATGCCCCCCACTGGAAATTGGGCCCACAACCTGGGCATGTGCCCTGATGGGGAATTGCACTGGCAGTCTCTTGGTGCATGGGTCAACGCTCAACCACTGAGCCATACTGGCCGGGCAACATTTTCTTTTTGAGCAACTTTGTCCCAATGCTTCCTCAAGGGAAAGGACTACAAAAGATTGTTCACAAATGATTTGTGAGCATCAGATACCATTTTACATAAAAAATCTGTAAGACTTGAGATACTTGGTGCCTAAAAGGCATCCTTTCCTTTATCTTATGAGACACATTTTAGTGTCAAACGTGCATCTAAGAAACACTGCATCTTTTATGGCTGCATCTCATATTCTCTTGGTGGATTCTTTTCAGTGGCACTGCTGAGCTATTTGCCACCTGTGCCAAGAAGGACATCAGAGTGTGGCACACGCTGTCCAACAGGGAGCTGCTGCGGATCACTGTACCCAACATGACGTGCCATTGCATTGAGTTCATGAGAGATGGCAAGAGCATCATTTCAGGTAAGGTCGACATTCCAAGATTGGGCTTCCGGATCTGGCGGTGGCGTTGGATCTTGTCCATATACACTAGTCTGTACATGTGGATAACCTGGAACAGCCTCCCACTGTCCACCCACCCCTCCTTGCTTCCAATCTAGCCTCTCTTTGGAGTTCCCTTTTAGCTGGGAGAATTTCTGAGATAGGGAGAACTAAATTTCTCTTCTCCCAAATTGCTACACATAGCATATGGCTTTCTTTCTAGCAGAGAAATTTAGCAATTCAATTACAAAATGGATTTGAGCCCTCAGTGAGTACAAGGCACTGTGTTAGAACCCCTTTTGTTGTTCAAGGGATAAAACCCTGACTAAATTATATCTCAAAGGAAATTTACTTTTAATCTGATTGATTATTTTATGTCAAAATATTTTAATATAAATTATAGATGTCATAATATTCCACCTATAAATACTTCAGTATGCATCTCTAAAAATAATATTTTTCTATAAAATAATTTCTTAATATCTTCTTATGTTCTATCCATGTAAAAGTTTCCTCAGTTGTCCAAAAGGAGATTCACTGGTTCCCATCAATGAAAAGTCAAGTGAATCTTTTTGTGTAGCTATTAAAATAGTGATATCAGAGACCCATCTCATCCCTCTTCTCTGGGCTCTGTTACCTCCATGTGGGCCTCTCCTTTAGACATGTTCTTTCTCCACATAGAGGCCACAGGAGTTCTTGGCTTATATTTCACTGGAGCTAACAAACATTCAGGTCATCATCACCTCCTCTTTCTCTGATACCCCACATGCATTAGCCTCTAATAATCCCCCCTTCAGAGTACACCTAAGATTCCATCACCTCTCATCATTTTCACCCTTGTCTCAGTCACCGTCATCTCTTCTAGATTACTCTCGTAGCTTCCTCCCAGGTCTGCCTACTTCTGCCCCTGCTCACCACCCTTCTTTCTCAGACTTTTAGCACAGAAGCCAGAAATCTCTTTTTAATGTTAAAGTATGACCATGCCATTTCTAGGGTTAAAATGTATTTTACTTTTATAGAATAAAGGACAAAGTCCCTGCAAATTGCCTAAAAGGCCCTACATGACCTTCTCACCTCCCTAACCTCTACTTCTGCCTCTGCCTCTTCCCAGTCACCCCCACTAGCCATACTTGCTTCTTCACTATTCTTTTTTTCTTCTTTATTGATTTTTTTCTTTATTAATTTGTTTTTGTTACAGATGTTTCCCATTTTTTCCCCATTGACACCCTCCTCTCCTCCCCACCCCCATCCCTAGCTTTGTTGTCTATGTTCATTGGTCATGCATACATGCATGTAAGTTCTGTGGTTTATCTTTTCCTTCCCCAACCCCCCCCCCCCCCCCCCGAGGCTTGTCAATTTCTACCCCACCTCTACTCTCTGGGTTAATTTTATTCATTAGTTTGTTTAGTTCATTATATTCCACAAAAAAGTGAGATCATGTGATATTTGCCATTCTCTGCTTGGCTTGTTTTGCTTAGCATAATACTCTCCAGGTCCTTTCCTGCCATCTCAAAGGATAAGAGATCTTTCTTACAGCTGCATAGTATTCCATTGGGTACATATACCACAGCGTTTTTATCCACTCATCTGCTGATGGACACTTGGGTTGTTTCCAGATCTTAGCTATTGTAAACAGTGCTGCTATGAACACAGGGGTACATATATTATTTCTGACTGGTGTTTCAGGTTCCTTAGGGTATATTCCTAGAAGTGGGATCACTGGGTCAAATAGCAGTTCAATTTTTAACTTTTTGAGGTAACGCCATAGTGTTTTCCACTGTGGCTGCACCAGTTTACATTCACACCAGCAGTGTACTCGAGTCCCCTTTTCTCCACACCCTCTCCAACACTTGCTGTTTGATGATTTATTGATAGCAGCCATTCTGACAGTTGTGAGGTGATACCTCATAGTTGTTTTCATTTGCATCTCTCTGATGATTAGTGATGTTGAGCATTTCTTCATATGTCTCTTGGCCATTTGTATGTCCTTTTTGGAGAGGTGTCTATTTAGGTCCTCTGCCCATTTTTTAATTGGGTTTTTTGTCTTCCTTTTGTAGAGTTGTATGAGCAATCTACTTCGGAAATTAACCCCTTATCTGATGCATCATTGGCGATTATGGTCTCCCATAGAGTGGGTTGCCTTTCCATTTTGATGGTTGTTTCTTTTGCTGTGCAGAAGCTATTTAGTTTGATGTAGTCCCATGTGTTTATTTTTTCCTTTGTTTCTCTTGCCTTAGGTGTTGTATCAGTGAAAATTCTGCTGCGTATGATGTCTGAGATTTTGTTGCCTGCATTTTCTTCTAGAATTTTTATGGATTCACAAGTTACATTTAAGTCTTTTATCCATATTGAGTTTATTCTCATGTATGGTATAAGTTGGTGTTCTAGCTTCATTTTTTTTTTTTTTTTTTTTTGGCAAGTAGCTGTCCAATTTTCCCAACACCATTTATTGAAGAGACTGTCTTGACTTCACTGTATGCTCTTGCCACTTTGTCAAATATTAATTGAGCATATTGTCTCGGGTAAATTTCTGGGTTCTCTATTCTGTTCCATTGATCCATCTGCCTGTTCTGTGCCAGTACCAGGCTGTTTTGATTACAGTGGCTTTGTACTATAACCTGAAATCTGGTAATGTGATCCCTCCTACTTTGTTCTTCTTTTTCAAGATTGCTGTGGCTATTCAGGGTCTTTTTTGGTTCCATATAAACTTTTGGAGTGTTTGTTCTAGTTCTGTGAAGTATGTCGTTGGTATTTTGATGGGGATTGCATTGAATCTATAGATTGCTTTGGGTAGTATGGACATTTTAATGATATTAATTCTTCCAATCCATGAATAAGGTATATGCTTCCACTTTTTATATCTTCCTCAATTTCTTTTTTCAATGACCTGTAGTTTTATGTGAAGAGGTCCTTTACTTTTTGGTTAAGTTTATTCCTAGGTATCTTAATTTTTTTGCCACGTAAATGGGATTGTTTTTTTAGTTTCTCTTTCTGTGATTTCATCATTGGTATATAAGAATGCCATTGATTTCTTGATGTTAATTTTGTATCCTGCTACTTTGCCAAGTTCATTTATTAAGTCTAGTAGAGTTTTGATGGAGTGTTTAGGGTTTTCTATGTACAAATGTCATCTGCAAATAATGACAGTTTCACTTCCTCCTTTTCAATTTGGATCCCCTTTACTTTTTCTTCATGTCTAGTTGCTGTGGCTAAGACTTCCAGTACTATGTTAATTAAGAGTGGTGGATAATAAAAGTGGGCATCCCTGTCTTGTTCCCATTCTTAAAGGGAATGCTTTTAGTTTTTGCCCATTGAGTAAGATGTTGGCTATAGGTTTTTCATATATGGTCTTTATTATGTTGAGATATGATCCCTCTATTCCCACATTGCTGAATGTTTTTATCAGAAACGGGTGCTGGATTTTGTCAAATGCTTTTTCAGCGTCTATTGATATGATCATAGGGTTTTTATCATTTCTTTTGTTTATGTGGTGTATCACATTTATTGGTTTGCGAAAATTGTATCACCTTGCATGCCTGGGATGAAACCCACTTGGTCAGGATGACTAATTTTTTTGATGTATTGCTGGATCTGATTTGCTAATATTTTGTTAAGGATTTTGGGATCTGTGTTCATCAGGGATATTAGCCTGTAGTTTTCTTTCTGTGTAGTGTCTTTTTCTGGTTTTGGAATTAGGATTATGCTGGCCTCATAAAATGAGTTTGGAAGTGTTCCGCCTTCTTGGATTTTTTGGAATAGTTTGAGGAGAATGGGTATTAGATCTTCTTTGAATGTTCGGTAAAACTCCCCCATGAAGTCATCTAGGCCTGGGCTTTTGTTTGCTGGGAGTTTCTTGATTACATCTTTAATTTCCTTTGTTGTTATTTTTATTTATTATTATTTTTTAAATCTTTATTGTTGAATGTAGAATGTATTACAGATGTTCCTCATTTTTCCCCCATTGACCCCATCCTCCCCACCCCCGCCCCCCTCCCGCCTTTTCCCACACTATTGTCTGTGTCCATTGGTTATGCATATAAGTTCTTTGGTTAATTTCTTCCCACCCCCCAACCCCTTTCCTTTGGAGGTTTGTCAGTCTAGCAATGAATTTGTACTTCTTAATCCCTTCACCTTTTTCACCCATTCCCCCAACTCCCTCCCATCTGGCAACCAACAAAATGTTCTCTGTATCTATGAGAATGTTTCTGTTCTGTCTGTTCATTTTCTTTGTAGATTCCATTGTTGATAGATATGTATTCATTGCTATTTTGTTTGTTCATATATTTTATCTTTTTCTTCAAAAAGACCCTTCATCATTTCATGTAATAACAGTTTGGTGGTGATGAACTCCTTTAACTTTTTCTTGTCTGGGAAAGTTTTTATATGGCCATCGATTCTAAATGCCAGCTTTGCAGGATAGAGTAGTCTTGGTTGTAGGTTCTTGCTTTTCATCACTCTGAATATTTTTTGCCACTCCCTTCGGGCCTGCAAAGTTTCTTTTGAGAAATCAGCTGACAGCCTTATGGGTACTCCCTTGTAGGTAACCATCTGCCTTTCTCTTGCTGCTTTTAAGATTCTCTCTTTGTTCTGAACCTTTTGCATTTTGATGATGATGTGTCTTGGTGTGGGCCTCTTGGGGTTTATCTTATTTGGGACTCTCTGTGCTTCCTGGACTTGTATGTCTGTTTCCTTCACCAAGTTAGGAAAGTTTTCTGCCATTATTGTTTCAAACAGGTTTTCGATTTCTTGTTCTCGCTCTTCTCCTTCTGGCACCCCCAAGATGCGAATGTTGGCACGCTTGAAGTTGTCCCAGAGGCTCCTTACACTATCCTCATTGTTTTGGATTCTTTTTTCTTTTTGCTGTTCTGTTTGGGCGTTTTTGCTTCCTTATATTCCAAATCGATGGTTTGCTTGTTGGATTTACATACTCTACTATTGAATCTGTGTAAATTATTCTTTATTTCAGTTAATGCCTCCTTCAT